GAGAGTTTGGATAAATTAATGTAAATTGTTAACTTACAGTGGGAATGAGATTATCGTAAATGCGTTTGCAGCAGATATTCATGGTGTCCGTGCCCTGGTCCTAAGCAATGCACAAACCAAAACCCCAGCAGAAATGCAACACACCCAAAACGTGAATTGGTTAGGATGAATACAAAGTTAGCAAAAAAATATAAAATCAAACAATATTAGTGAATGGTGGTGAATGGTGCGCGACGCAACTGCATTTAAAGCGTTTCCAATAATTGCGCTCATTTTAACTGAACGTTAACATTAGTTTTTATGGCCCTTTCAGTGCGCAGGTACCATAAAGATGTTGTTGTTGTTGTTATTTATCGGACGCTTAAATTTCAGTTGCGAATGGTAAAATGTAAACAAGTTATTAGGTATAGTTAATGATCGTTTAAGTATTTGGAATTTCACCTCTTGGCATGTCCGCTCGTACGCAAGGAGATTCGTTTCCTTATCGCGCAACTGCGTCCTCAGGTCTTCGATGTTCCTTTGGGCCTCGTCCCTTTCCTGCTCCCTTTCCGCAGCCTGCTCGTCCAGAAATTGGTTTCGCTCGCGTAACTTCTTGTTGGCCGCTTCCATCTTGTTATTATTATGAGTGTGATTAGCAAAAAGCTCGAAATACATAATTGTTCTTGTCGCGAAGAACACGACGATATAAGAAGAAAGAAGCGGAAAATGTGAAATGACATGAAATTAATTTCAAGCAAAACCGTTTGGTAGTAGAAATTTGGCGTATATAAAAACGTAAAATAAATATGAACCGGGGATATCGACTGGTGATAAGATACTGACGAGACGAGACAAGACTCACCTGTTGCAAGAAATCTTCGCGCTGCGTTTTCGCTTCTTCCAGAAGCTTATCTCCGACCCGACACAGATCCTCGACGAGTTGCCACAGTGGGCTATCTTCCTTTGTGGATAATTCCATGGCCAAAGCTCGGGCCTTCTCTTGAAGCTCCGGCAAAGAGTGCTCCATCACTAAAACAAGATAAATTAACACTTCAAATTAAAGCAATTATAATTAAGTACGCACCGCTTCGTCTTGTTCCCAACTTCTCGTTTTCACCGTAACCCTCCGACACGACTTCCTTCCGATTAGATTCCACCAACTCGGCTATCTTTCCTTTGGCTTTGACCAAATCCATTTCCAGGACATTATTCTTGGCCAGAACCTGATCCAATCGCGTCTCCAGACCTCCGCGCTCCGACTCCAACCTCGAGTTCAACTCCTTGATCTCCTTCAACTCCTTCGTCAAATCGTATATTTTTCTCGTCAGATCCGCGACTCGTTTATCCAGAGACTCTTCACTCTCATCATCATCCTTCTTTTTGATCTGACTCAAGACCAGCACTTCATTGGCATCCGACGCAAGCCTCTCCAAACACCCACTCAAAACGCTCTCCAACACTTCTGAAATACTCTCGTCATCAGTCCTATCCAAGACACCGCTCAAATCAGGTGTTATGCGAACGCGTTTCGATGTACTCGAAGTCGCCGAGTCGTCCAAGTTAATATCTCCCAGTTGCGTAATTTTATCCACCAAAGTGCTGTTCAATTCATGCTCGCATTGCGAACAATAAACTAATAAATCTATAACAGTTTTCTTCAGATTCGCCGTTGATTTCTTCAGCGTGTTCCGTTCCTTGACCACATCTGCATCATCCGAGTCCCGCAAGCTTCTTCTCCTCGCCCTCTCCATAGCCCCATTGAACATCCTGATGTGCTCCTCTTTAAGCTTAGAAATCTCTTCGTCGTGAGCAGTCTTCAGTTCGTCGATTTCCGCTTCGTATTTTTCTGTGAACTTTGTTTTGATTCCGAGAAGTTCGTCGGGCCAAACGGCTCCAACCGGATCAGCAGAAAGCACCTAAAGAAACATAATTCATCAACATCGTACATATACTTGTGCATTCTTCAAAGGATATATTCTCGTAACGAAAGATGTTAGATGTTGTTGGATTTACCTCGATCTGATGAGTGAGATTTGACATGAAATCGTTGACCGCCAAAGCCGTTTGCTCCTTTACACGAATCTCATAACTTTTCACGACATACCCGAGCTCATCATCCCCATTAGGCTATGTTATTTTTTTTTAAGTCACAAACAAAGGAAAGAAAACAAAAATAGATTAATAGAAACATGCAGACACTGACATGATCTTAAAAGCATGCAATTATTATTATATAAATGATAATTAAACAATAAACAATCAAAACTAATTAACATTTAAAAATAAACTTCTCATGAAGAAAGTTTCAATTAATTATTGACACAATTAACAAATAATAATTAACAATTATTAAGTAAAGACAATATCATTACTAATCAACTAAATTTTATTTCGGTTTAATTTGTGGCCCAGCTTTCGCCGGGCGCTCAAAAAATTGAGATTAGACTCATTTGAGTTGTTCCCCTCCACGGAAATCTTTAGTAAAAGGCGAAAGATTTATTCGCTTTGAAGGGAAACCAGAGTACCGAACATGGGAATTTTGGAGTCTATAGACCACCGTTAATACCGTGACTATAGCAGCGACTTAAGAAGAGCGCCATCTGTTGATGGTCACTTTATTTTCTTATCAAATTTCTCTTTACTTATCTCAAATATAATTACGAAATGTAATGTGTTATTATTGTGTTAATGTAATTAATTATGCTGCAATAATTCAACCTTGTTGATAATATCAAAGTAAAATAAATTTTGATTTGGTATTTTTAATCTTTAAGAGGATTCCCTTCTTTGGATTTGTTGTAAAATAGATCAATATTATTAGATAGACTTGTCACATAAATTAATTAACGTTAATATAGTAAGCTGAATAATTGAAATTGAAACTTACCTCTTGAACTGTGGTTATTGTGGCTCTGGTTGTTTCGTCCAATTCTTTTTGCAAAGACTCGCACCTTTCCTCGTACGCTTTCATTCTACCTTCGCAGTCCAATTTCAGTAATGCGATCAGCTTGTCGATCTCGTCGCGGATGCCATCGTAGTCTTGCGCGGAGATGGTGATCAGATCGTATTTGCTGAGAGCCTCCGAAGCTCTGTCCAGTTGCCTCTTCAGTTCAAACAAGTTCCCTTTCGCGCAGACGAGCTCTTTGCCGGCATCTCCACCGGCGTAGATCAGATCCGAGGCGAGCTCCGGCTCGGAGCCGGTGCTGCAGTTCGACAGCTTCCTGCTGTGCTGACTGAATATCTCGTCCGAGTAATTCTTCTCCATATCGGCGCACTTCTTCTCGTAGTACATCCGAAGCTCCTCCATCTCCTTCAGATGCTTAGCGTCCAGCTCCTCCTTCATCGTCCTCACATCAACGGATCCGCTCTTCACGTTCCCCAGCAACTCGCGCAACTTCTTCACCTCCCCCACGTACTCATCCTTCTCAGTCTCATGGTTTTCCTTAACAATCCTAATCTCATCCTCCAACTGCCTACCATTCGTCTTCTTAATCTCCAACAATATCTCCCTCAACAAATTAATTTGATGCGGCTGCAACGTAGATTCCAGCTCTTTACACATCTCACCCTGTGCACCACTTAAACTGTCCCTTCTCACTTCACCGCTTTGACTCTGGAATTGCTCGTACATTTTTTTAATATCATCGCGCAAATTGTCAATTTCCTTCTTGTAATTCTCGCAAATCACATCCTGCTCCTTCTCCTTGCTTATCTTCATCTCAAGTGTATCCATTAAATCCTTAATAACCAATTCCCTCTGCTTTAAAGCAGTTTCAAATTCAATCTGCAACACAAAACACGTAAAAAATAACAATACCAACAATCAGTTTAAATTCTCACTTTGTCCACTTCATTCTGATCTTTGTATTCCGTTAATGTATCCATCTCCTCAGCACTGACAGTGCTTTGGTTGCTGATGACCTGCTTCTGCTCTGAGCCTTTATTTAAATACTCCTTAATACTTCCATCGCCCAAACTGAAAGCCTCAAATATATTGAGGCTGGCTTCGATGGAATCACATGAATCACTCTTCAGCTTCTCACTCTCTGATCGAAAACCGAAAATGATTTCCTGCAGGAGATCTCTGATGTTCTGACTAGTTGAATTTGTGATGGGATCTGATGGTGGCGATGATGGATTGTTTTCTTCTGATAAATTTGTTTGGCTCGTGTGATGCAGGGCTATATTCGAAATCTCCACTTCATGCAGAGAACGGTCATTCTCTATGCTGTTCACACTTGAGAGGTGCTCTGAACATGAAATAATTGAGTAAATTATGAAGTTGGCATGCATTTATATAATAATTCCGCTCACCTGATATGCTGCTACCAGCGGATACTGGTCTGTCCTCTTGATGTGATCTCTTGCTGTTACCCTCTGGCAAGAGCATAGGACTGAGTGTTAGGGAAGAGTCTGTGCTGCATGAAGGAGTGCTATTTTCGGACACTGCCTCAGCACCCTTATCTCTTTCCTTATGGTACATATTTAGCTAAATATAGAACGTCTTCACTTAAATATATATATATATGTGTAAAGAAGGCATTTATTTCAGAACATCTTCAATTGAAATGAAGTTCCAATTTTTTTATGCTAAAAACCTTCTGCTTTCTTGTCTTCACATCCAAACAATTGAACACACTCTTAACATTTCACGCTTTAACAACAAACTAACCACAAATATTGTTACACTAAAACAACAAAGAAATTATTTTTTTTCTCGAAAATAAAATGAAATCAATGTTACAATAAAATAAAACCACTTGAAAATGTATCCTTCTATAGTTGCATCACTGACTTATTTATGTTCATTGGCAGTTACCATAACAACATTACGTATATTGAGTTGCCTATACTACAAATATAGGAATTTGAATTATCTTTACTCGACCTTTATATGTTCATTGGCAGTTACCATAACAACATTACGTATATTGAGTTGCCTATACTACAATATAGGAATTTGAATTGTCTTTACTCGAGCAACAGTTTATTAAAGAATTGATTGATTAATTCATAAGGAATTAGATAGAAACATTTGTTTGATGTATAATATAATTTAATGAGTATAAACATAACAAAATAAAGATTTTAAAATTAAAAATCAATGCCGTTGAAGAGATCGTCCAAATCATCGTTCAACATGTGCTCCTCCACAGTCTTATGTGCATCGTTCTTGGGTGTTTCGCTTCGTATACTGGTTGGCAGATCCTTCTGCGTTTGAAAATTAATAAATATATCGATGTCCTCGTCCAGCATATCTTCATCACAGTCTGTTTTCGCGGCAGCCTTCTTATCCGGCGATTTAAAATAACTAGAGATATCTAAGGTGTTTGAGCTTGTCAAGCTGTTGTTTAAATTCGTGGCGATCTGACCATCAGAAGCAGGTTTCTTCTGGTTCGTCACGTTCACATCTTTATAAGATTCGGACATCAAACCGATTTCCTTTAACGTTTTCTGCTTGTTCTGGAGCAGCGGCCAAATCGAGTCATCCGATGTTCGCGGTGCTAGCAGGTATTGAATGGTAACGTGTCCTTCCTGTCCGATACGATGCGCTCGTGATTCAGCCTGACTCAAAATCTGCAAAAGCAAATTAAACATTAACTGCTGCTGCTTCACCAATTGATGTAATTAAACAGCTTAAGCTCACAAATCAATAACTTACACTTGGATTCCAGTGAAGCTCCGCGAAGAGAACCAATTGGGCGGCTGTTAACGTAATACCCGCGTTCGCAGCGGTTATAGATAAGACGGCGCACGTAAAACTATCGTCCAATTGGAATTTATCCACGTAATACTTTCGTTGATCACAGGTCGTGTTTCCATCTATCCTAATGTATTTCTTGTTCTTCTTGACTAACACTTTTTCGATGGCGTTCAGCATCACTTGGTGATGGGCAAAAACCAGAAACTTTCTATCGGTTTCCAAGACTTGCATAATGTAAGAACTGAAAATTGATATTGTTAGTAAGGAATGTTAATGACATCATCGAAATGTTACCATACTGAAGGCACCTTTATTTTCGCTGTTTCGGCGAAGAACGTTAGCAACGCAGCGTGCTTTTCCTTCTTCACGTTTGCGTATTTCGCGGCGAGCGACATCAAGCAATCCTGATCTTCTTGGCTGAACTGTGACAACTGCACGTCCAGCGTGATCACTTCTTGCGTTTTGTTTGGCAGAGATTTGAGTACTTCTTCCTTCGTCCTTCTGATCATGAACTTCTTTGCTAGGATTATCTCCAGCTCTTGCAGGTTGCTTTGCCCTGTAGCATCCCACCCGAAACCGGTCTGCTTGCCGTCGCAATACCGCGTGCTGAATTCGTAAAACGTACCGAAGAACTTCGCATCTATCAGCGACAGTTGCGAGAAGAGTTCGCTCGGTCTGGAGAGCGCCGGAGTTCCGCTGAGCAGAATCACGCGTTTCGCTCTTTTGCACACATCGATGGCGGCTTTCGTGCATTTAGCTTTGAAGTTTTTGAGAACGTGCGACTCATCTATAATAATCACACCGAAGTTCCTCTGCAACAATTTATCCGAACATCTTGTGAGCAAATCGTGGCTGACTATCAGAATTAAGGCGCGATCGATGAAATCTTTGCCGGACGTCATGTATTGAACGCTCATCACAGGCACTGAAGTAAGGTATTTGTGTATGGTTTCCTCCCAAACGTTCCTACAATCAAATATGTTACTCAAACTTAACGATTTCCTTATGCAAGAAGTTAGAATTACCTCATCGACGCTGTGGTCACAATGAGCATAGGCCAATCAGGTTTATAGTAGCAGGCAATTCCGAGCGCTTGAAAAGTCTTCCCAAGACCCATATCATCAGCAATCATGCATCTACCATTCTTGCCGATTCCAAAGCTAAAAAAATATCTTCAATTAGAAATTCCTTCAACAAACAACATTTTTAATCAAATACAAACCATACTCCTTCCTCCTGGAAAGGCATTAAAGCAGTCAACAGTTCATTATCAATACAAGTTAAATCGTATAAAATATTTTCACTTTTCTGCCAGCAGACTTTCAATGCGTATATTGGTAATTTATCAACAACAACTGCCGGTTTCAAAGGTGCCAATTTATTTTGCAAACTTTCATAGTCTGTGATATTAAAATTCCAAATTCTGCTCTGCGGATCTAAAAATAAAAAATATAATTAACTGCTTTAAAAGTTCTACAAAAAAATATAAATTACCATAGAACCTTGTTGGAAGTGTTTTCATTACATCGATTGCAGCCTGATTGAATCCAGAGAATGTAACAGCGAACCTATTTGGACTCACCAAAGCCAGTTTAGCTGTAGTCACTTCATTTTTTAAACCATAAAATTGCAGTGGTTTCTGCACACCAATTTGTTGTTTCTCATATGGTTTGTAATGGTTCTGCTTCATCGATTGCTGTACACTGTTGTCTCTCATTTTAAAGTAGTTCGATTTGGATATCGGAGGTGACTGCTGTTGCCTGACACCTGCATCTTCTTTCCCTTTGAAAAAAGTTGATGGATAATTATTTTGGTTGAACTGTTGCTTCGCCTTTTTGGCAGCCAATTTTCGCAGAGCCTCCGCTCGTTTCGCCTGTATCTGTTCATCCGTGCACTGCATCATCTTTTCAGCTATAATTCTCACTAATTCTATTGATTTTACATTATTACAATCACAATAAAAATATATGAAATTTGGGTTATCATATTTGTTATTGTCAGAGCTGAAAACCAAAGAAACAGAAATAAAACTTACAAATCACCAAGCGTGCCACCACACCAAATAAATATATAAGCTAATTAAAATTTTTAATTAATTAATACGCTAATTAAAGATAAAACTCTAAGCTTTCCAATGCATCTATCAAAAGATTTGTGGCTGCTACCGTTTTCTTGTAATTAATTATCAAAATTTAAAAACAACATTGCTCATGCAGTATGTTTATTTTTTTTGTATTTCTCGCTAACGAGAAATCACACAAACTTCAATTAATATATGAACTAAAGATAAAATTCTAAGCTTTCCAATGCATCTATCAAAAGGTTCGTGGCTGCTACCGTTTTCTTGTAATTAATTATCAAAATTAAAAACAACATTGCTCAAGCCTCGAAAATGCAGTATGTTCAATTTTTTTTGTATTTCTCGTTAAGGAGAAATCACACAAACTTCAATTAATATATGAATTAAAGATAAAACTCTAAGCTTTCCAATGCATCTATCAAAAAGTTTGTGGCTGCTACCGTTTTCTTGTAATTAATTATCAAAATTAAAAACAACATTCCTCAAAGTCTCGAAAATGCAGTATGTTCAATTTTTTTGTATTTCTCGTTAACGAGAAATCACACAAACTTCAATTAATATATGAATTAAAGATAAAACTGTAAGCTTTCCAATGCATCTATCAAAAGATTTGTGGCTGCTACCGTTTTCTTGTAATTGATTATCAAAATTAAAAACAACATTGCTCATGCAGTATGTTCAATTTTTTTGTATTTCTCGTTAAGGAGAAATCACACAAATTTCAATTAATATATGAATTAAAGATAAAACTCTAAGCTTTCCAATGCATCTATCAATAGGTTCGTGGCTGCTATCGTTTTCTTATAATTAATTATCAAAATTAAAAACAACATTGCTCAAAGTCTCGAAAATGCAGCATGTTCATTTTTTTTTGTCTTTCTCGTTAACGAGAAATCACACAAACTTCAATTAATATATGAATGAAAGATAAAACTCTAGACATTCTAACGCACCTACTCTGAGATCTATGGCTTCAACAGTTTTCTTGTAATTAAATTTTAAATTTGAAAAAATATATTTTATTTATGAACCTCGAAAATGTATATCGTTTTTCTCGGTAACCACAAACCACACAATCATAAATTAACACAATAATTAATGATCAAAATTTAAGCTTTCCATTGCGCTTATTGTAAGATCTGTGGCTATTGCGGTTATCCAATAATAAGAGAATCTTTATGTTTATCAACTTAGATATACGTTTTTAGGACATCTCTTGGTCGAGCCTCAAAGCTTGCAGTTCAGGCATTTTGGCGCTGCTCAAATTCCGACTTTTTAATTACGGCCTCTATTAATAATATTAATTAACAGTAACATGTATAATTTATTTCTTTATTTTATTCTCTAAAGATATAATTGATTGGATACTTATTGATTGAGTAATTAGTAAATAATGTAACTGCTCCAGCGACATCTGTCGCTCATTTTGTGAATCGTAGATATCATAAATTTTTGATTATGCAACCATTGAAACAGTATGTTTGAAATTTCATAATAGCTTTCAGTAGTTTTCAGATATTTATAGATCAATATATGAATTAAAGATAAAACTCTAAGCTTTCCAATGCATCAATCAAAAGATTTGTGGCTGCTACCGTTTTCTTGTAATTAATTATCAAAATTAAAAACAACATTGCTCAAGCCTCGAATATGCAGTATATTCATTTTTTTTTGTATTTCTCATTAAGAAGAAATCACACAAATTTCAATTAATATATGAAATAAAGATAAAACTCTAAGCTTTCCAATGCATCTATCAAAAAGTTTGTGGCTGCTACCGTTTTCTTGTAATTAATTGTGAAAATTAAAAACAACATTCCTCAAGTCTCGAAAATGCAGCATGTTCAATTTTTATATATTTCTCGTTAACGAGAAATCAGACAAACTTCAATTAATATATGAATTAAAGATAAAACTAGAGACATTCTAATGCATTTATTCTGAGATCTATGGCTTCAACAGTTTTCTTGTAATTTAAATTTTAAATTTGAACAAATATATTTTATCTATGAACCTCGAAAATGTATATCGTTTTTCTCGGTAACCACAAACCACACAATCATCAATTAACACAGTAAAGATTAAAATTTAAGCTTTCTGTTGCGCTTATTGTAAGTTCTTTGGCTATTGCGGTTATCCAATAATAAGAGAATCTTTATGTTTTTCGACTAAGATATACGTTTTTAGGACATCTCTTGGTCGAGTATCAAAGCTTGCAGTTCAGGCATTTTGGCGCTGCTCAAATCCCGACTTTTTAATTACGGCCTCTAATTATAATATTAATTAACAGGAATATGTACAATATATTTCTCTGTTTTATTCTCTAAAGATATAATTGATTGGATACTTATTGATTGAGTAATTAGTAAATAATTTAACTATTCCAGCGACATCTGTCGCTCATTTTGTGAATCGTAGATATCATAAATTTATGGTTATGCAACCATTAAAACAGTATATTTAAAATTTCATAATAGCTTTGAGTAGTTTTCATAATTTTCAGATATTTACAGATAGGAAACAATTATAAAAATGAAGACGATGTTGAAATGAATACTTTTTATTTGACAACACTAATAGCAAATAGAATAAATGAGAAATAAAATCTGTGTGGAAATACACAACGTTTCATATTCAACAACAACTAATAGATAGATAAATAACAAATATATAGACTTTTCTCCATTTTTTACACATAGTTAAAACATTTGCTTCGTATATACATATTGAGAACTGGTAATCAATGTAAAATAGCTCAAATTTATACAGACAATTATTAAATTAAAAAGTAACATCTACAGGGTGTTTTCTTTAGTATTTAGCGAAATAATTATGATAATAATAATTAAAAAAAAGAAACAAGAAAGTGAATAGACCCTGCGTGGTTTTCCTAATACTTAGTATAGTAATAAGTTTTACGATAATAGTAACAGTAGGCCGTCCAAACTACTTCTTTTTTTTTAAATAATAATATATATATATATATAAACTTAAAAGAAATCATACGAAAAATATTCTAAAATTAAGTACAAAATCATAGAAAAGAAAGAAATTGTGTAAAATAAATGAGGAGTGTAAATAATAATAATAGTAGAATAAGTTTTCGAATCGCCTATTGCACTCGTCTGCAGTAGTAACCCAGTTCTTTGCACTTCTGGCATAGATGTTGAGGATGGACTTTGGATTGGTCGGAGACGTCCAAACCGTCGGGTTTCTCTGAAGGCCTCTGAAGAAGAATGTTTTTAGATGAATCGTTGGAATTAGGTAATACGATTTACCTGTTTGTGGGGGTAAACGTTGATGTGGCATTTGATGCATTCCTGCCCCATGTTCGACCACGAGTTTCCGGACATCCACTTCCTCTTGCACTTGGGGCACTTGTACTCGCCGAAGCAGCGCTTCCTGCCCTGATAGGGCGTCTTTCCCTCGCCCTTCGGACGCGCCTGGAAAAGCTGAGTTTGCATTCGTTTAGTCGCTTACGTTTAGCATTCATTATTTGTATTATTTATATTCGCTTCAACCCGAGGAATTAATCTAAATTGCCGACCTCACATGCTGCTGCATCATCAATTACCCAAGCCAAACAATTAAACGATTAAGCTAATGCGAGAGTGTTTGAGGCAGAGAGAGTAGGAGAGTCGTACAGCATCAGCGTTTCTGCACGTTCTCGCTTACCTGCGGACAATCCTTGATGTAATGGCCCTTCTGGAAGCACTGATGACACAGGTAAGTTGCAGGTGGTTGCTTCAGGTTCCTCCGATCGACCACGGCCAGCTCGGACAGTTGATCGGTCAATTCGCAGATGGGATCTGTTGCTTGCATTGCGGGAGACGTGGAGAAGGTTGTTCCGTAGATGCCGTAACCGCCGTATCTCGGTGCTCCCGAAAACGAACTCCAAGACGGAGAAATCACTTTAGCCTTTAGAGAAGGAATTAAAGTTTAAATATACCGAATTATCTGATCTTGCATACCTGATACGGAGGTTCGTTCGTCTGCTCTAAAGCCAAATAGTGCAGCCAGTTTTGAGGGTAGTACGAGTTACCGTAATCCTGCTGCCTCTTCAACTGCACGCCCTTCGACAGAGCGTTCGGTGCAGCGATCAGCGTCGCAGTTGGGGCCATTCCTTTCGAAAAGATTATCACAAAAATTTTAAAATAGAATCTTTGAACAATACTTGCATACAATGTGCAAGATAAGATTAGTAAACATTTATAAACCTAATCGCAATTCTAATGCAACAAACTACATACATTATCAATCAATAAACAATCGAAGAGTTGAAATTATCATTATCATAGAAAAAACAAAATTAGCATTGAAATTTCAAAAAGATTGATAAGGACAGAAATATTATTGTGATTAAGGAAATAATTGTAAATGTGTTTTTCTTATTAGAAATATGCGTTCGGTCCAGCAGCTGCTTTTTGAAGATCAAGCAAGCTGTGGTCAATAAAAACCGATTCTAATACTTATTTTTGGACGAGCGTTTTTGGTTTTCGAGTGTAAAATTACTTTGCGGATTGTAAATTTGTGTGAAATTTGGATGATCACCTGAAGGCCAAAAGACTATACGACTGTAATAATGATGTTGATGATGATTATGATGATGATGATGATGGGAGTAGTAGGAGGGCGCGTGTATAAATAGAGGAAAACGGCAACCTCACGGTGAGGATCCCCGAAATCCGCGCGCATCTCGTCTTTTCCGGAAAAGCGAACGTCGTCGTCTCTCACTCGCACATAAAAATATCCGCAACTATTTCTGTCGACGCCGAATTCGTGGTCCATGCGATGCACGGATCGAACGAAGAGATGAAAAAAATAGAGGTTTAAAAATAGAGGAATGCATCTCGCTTGCTTGCTGTTGATGCACTTACTTTGCTCTTGAATCGAAAAGCGAAATCCGTAAATCCTAAAGTTTCCTCGTACAGGTGATGCACGAAACGTATATGTTGTTTTATTTCAGCACGTTACATTATCACGTTCGCAGTTATTATTTTCTTTGGGTTTTTCGGTCCATTTCTGTCGCGATCCCGACTGGATTTCCGACGGGAACTGCAGGAAAAACGCGCACTAACTAGACTTAGTGAGCGCGTGGTGGAGGGGAACGCTTGGAGGCTTAAAATAAGTCGGGAGGCGGCGGCGGCTGCTGTTGCTGCAAATCTGTATCTTCATAGATCGACGTCAGATCTTCTGGTGGTGTTTATAAGTTTCATGCGACGCTCACATAACGAATTGCACGAATTCGCGCTTTCCACGAAACCGAATCAATTAAGACCAGAAAAGGAAACTAAATATTTATATTATGGAAAAGCCATGAACCTTCTCAACACTCAACACTTTATAGCTTACATTCAACATTTTTAGTACTCTTCCAAACACAAACAAATACTCGACAAGAATTTCAAAATCACAAATTACAAAAATAAACAATCTTTACAATTATAATTATTGGAATTGGTATTAATAAGTATTAAGTGTTAACTATGCCAAAGCGTAGCAAACGTAGTAAATAACGTTTATTATTATATTTTTTTCTTCTCTCTTCTCTTTGGATGTGCGCCAAATGAAAACCATTAAAAGAGTTTTACGACTATATTAGTTTCTCGCACTTTTCAGCTTAATATTAACAATATTTATATTGAATTCTTGATGAATAATTGTGATTATTTTTTTTTTCGGAAGAAAATAAACGGATCAAAACGCAGCTTAATATTAACAATATTTATATTGAATTCTAGATGTGGAATTTCGATGAATAATTGTGATTATTTTTTTTTTCGGAAGAAAATAAACGGATCAAAACGCTTTGCTTCACTGTTGAAGTTGCATAAATGACAGTGGATTTGAATAGCGTCAGGCCGGAGGTCAAAACAAGAACCTCTTCAACTAAAATAACAACCGTTTGTATTATTTTAGTTCGTGTGTCTTTGGTTTCGTTCTTGAACTATTAATATTTACAGACATTTATAAGTGAGGATAAATTGCAAAAAAAAAACGGATTGAAATAATGTAAGTTTCTGCAAATATTTAACAGTAAATTAATTTAAAAATGTCTTTAACTAATTGTAAAAACTAATTTCTTAAGTAAATCTATCAAAAAAAAGTTTTGATAAAGATTTGAAAGTTTTATTATTAAGAACTTTCATTTTATATTCTTCGTAGATCATAATGTGTATTTTGTTGGATGCTATAAGTTTTAAAAACTAATACATTTCAAATTAATTTTAAACTTTTCGGTGTATTTGAAATTATTATTATATTTTAATACAGGCAACCCAATATACACCGAAGCTACACGATTATCTGCATTCGTCGTTAATTATTTTAATTACTTTGCGTAATTGGCTTCAAATGTAATAATTAAAGGCTAAATTAGTTAGAAATAATAAGTTTTACTTATATATAAAATATTTACAATTTAATACCATTGATTTATAGCAATGGAAATTCTTTAATTTAAATTTGAAAAATAATTAAAGAAATTTCTATTTTTTTTTAAAGTTAAATTTGGTGCATTTCCTACAATTAGACTTGTGAAATTATTAGAATATTTAATATATAGATGAAAAAATTAAATTTATCTATTGAAACTAGGTCAAAGTTAAGATCGCAACTTTACTTAATAGAAATTTAAAGTTTATTTGAAAAGACGAATTGATTATTAAATAAATTCAATATATTTTAGTTTGAATTTCATTTCATATTGAATTGATTTTTTCACGAAAATTGAAGAAATGCGTGCGTTTTTCCGCTCGTCGAAATATTCGGATAGATTGATTTGTGTGTGTGTGTGCGGGCTTCACGCGTCGCCATCGAAACCGAAACGCGGGGGTGGGCTTTTGCATAGCGTCGCGACGCCGGTTTCCATGCAGACAGTGTGCGTGCGGAGTTCGCGACGGTAACGACGGCGTTTATTTTGTTTATTTTTACGTTGCATTGCAATAAATATAAACAAAATTGAAATTGTTGACTTTTGTGCGGTGGGGGTAAATCGAGCCGTTTTTTTTGAAAACTAGCCCAAAAAGGATCAGTATTGCTTTGAATTTGGTAAGCGGACCCACAGGTTATTTATTATGAGCGACTTGATTGCAATTACACGTAACATAATTAAGTTTGCCATGGAAACAAGGAAATATCTTCTGTTGTTCAAAGTTTTTAGTTGTTAAGAATGCACGAATTTCTGCCCAGTTCTAAATTTACGTGAGTTCGCACAATCGATCGATTCTTGTTACTGTTTAGATCGAGATTTAAATAACTTTTCGTGGAAAGTTTTTTAAATCGAGAATTCATTTAATTAGCACAACAACTTCAAAAGTTTTATAATATACGAAGTTCTAATTGTGACTAGATTTATTTTTGCAGGTTTTGAAATAAAAATAAATGTTCTAATTACTTTCAAACTTGTTAACTCAAGAATTAAACTTATAGAAATTTCAGTTTTTTTTTCAATTAAAGCTGGAATATTAAAGTACTTTTTATTAATCCTTTTCGATTTTGACTTAGTAAAATTGACTTTACTAATTATTAAAAAGAACAGTAATTACAGTTGAAATATATTGCATAAAAGCATTTATTATTTATTCTGTTTTCTTTTCAATGGCAATTTGCGATAATTCGACGTACATATTTCATCCATCTCGAGGACGGAATTACCGATGCAAATCGACGTCAGGTCGCGGCACGAAAGCGCACACAAAAATATTATTTGCTCCTTGTTACAAAATAAAGCAGGACGAAAATCCCATTAGATAAATAAACGTTTTATCGATCAATTCAAAATGAATCTACAAGGATTTAGGAATCATCAATTCTCGATTCAGTAATAACGTCCGGGGTTTTCCGGATGCGACCTATTTCTGCGGGCATTTTCGGTGTTTCAAAAATCGCCACGCCAAATCGCAATTAATCTCTGGTTCGAGCACCTCCATCCATCACTGATTGCGTCCCGTATTTTCGTTTTCATCGATTTTCTCGTAAAAGAAAAAAAAATGTAGTTAAAATTGTCGCATGCATAATTAACTGAACTGTAGTAGAAACAAGGAGCGATTGATCATATGGGTATTGAAACGACAAGTGGATTTTGTGTTCTTTAGGTCTTTTTTCGTCAATCGATAAAAGTCTCATTACGAACGGCTTTTCCCTATTGTTTCCGTAAATTTTATGTAACGAGCTCTCCCTCTTATGTATTTCTTTGCATGTAATGTAATTCTCGTTGAGGGTTGTTGAACCTTCTGGGGTTTCCTTCTCCCCCAGACGGACCCAGACTGACCAGCTTTACGACCACGCGATTCTCGATCGACCAATTGCATAAAATTTCTTGGACTATTACCAAAACAAATTTGCATGTGCCGCATTAAAAACAGGGGGCTTTGAAATTTCGCCCTCGTTTGTTAAATGTTAAAGTTCAGGGTTAAAACGCATGCAATTGCATTGCCACCCGTGCATCGCGATTACATCGCTATCATTATACAAAAAAAACATATTTACAAGTTGTTGTATTAAAATGTAAATAAAACGTTCTAGTTTATTGATTTTTGTTACCTTTTCATTTTATAGTTTCAATTTTCATAATGTTATAAAATGTACGCGTTCGTATTAACAAGAGCTAAAATTGGATTGTTTGTGAACGGTGACGTGCTTTCAGCTATAAATATACATATATGTTGGGAATTATTAAATATCTTATTAACCCAAATATAGTCTCGTGTCTGGAGACGTAAAAGCTGGTGGAAATCAATTGCAGTCTCGTTCGTTCTCCATTGACATTGTCGGACGTTCGTTTTAATTTAATATTGATGCGACGCGGAACGACAATCTCTTCCTTTTCTGAAGACCATTAATAATGTATGTTTTTCGGTTTTTATTTACCGATCATCGTGTTATTTCAGAGGTTCTCAAACTTTTTTGTGTCGTAGACCCCTTGCCATGTTTTTCGGTTTTGGGTAGACCCCCTAGATCTTAGTATAATTATTAAGATCTTTACTCTGAGACTGTGCGTATGCTTGTAACAAGATGATACTGGTATATCATTATGTGGAGGTTTTTACAAGTATGTTGAGATCTGGTCTATATCAAAATCCCGACAACCATAATCCCGACTGTATTATTATTATAATGTATACAATAACATTTTTAAATTATTCCGAAACGTAGTCACCATCTATTATTATTTAACTATTATTTAATATTAATAACAATAAATTATTATGAATAATTCAATGAAATCAAATACAATAAATAACAACAATTAATAATCTCAACTCCCCCCGTTATATTCTAGAAATTAAAAAAAAAACTCGAGCGATGAATTTTTAATCATCATAAACAAGCTATCCCTAGATAAAAAAAAACTCGAGCGAGAATTTTTAAAACTATCTTTATTATAATACATAAATGAATAAAATAGCTATTCCGCGAAGATAACTCATTAATGTTCTGTTTTGTCGATCATTTACAATAAAAGACACTGTCGGGATTTCGATTAGTCGGAATTTTCATACAGTCCGGATTTTGGTTGTCGGGATTTCGATACAGTCGGAATTTCGAACGTCGGAATTTTGATACAGTCCGGATTATGGTTGTCGGGATTTCGATACAGTCGGTGTTTCGATACAGTAGGGATTTCGATACAGTCGGAATTTCGAACGTCGGGATTTCGAATGTCGGGATTTTGATTGTCCCCCATTGTGGACCCCCATTTTCATTTCATGGACCCCCAAATTTTTTTTTCGCTGACGTAGACCCCTGGGGGTCGATATAGACCACTTTGGGAATTACTGTGTTATTTGAATGTTAATGATTGATGATGCATAGTTTTGTCTATTCAGGACAACTTCTCAACTTTTTGTATTGAATTATCTGAATTTCTTGTAATGTTGTAAACTTGCTCATTTGTAAGTTGAAGTTCCTATAAGAAAGAAAAGAGGATAAGCGAACTTAGAAACTAGAAGACTATTGTTAATTAAAGATTCTTTTAGAGAAGATTTTTGTGTTTCTTTAAGATCTTGAAATGTGGGGTCGATATAGACCACTTTGGGAATTACTGTGTTATTTGAATGTTAATGATTGATGATGTATAGTTTTGTCTATTCAGGACAACTTCTCACCTTTTTATATTGTATTATCTGAATTTCTTGTAATGTTGTAAACTTGCTCATTTGTAAGTTGAAGTTCCTGTAAGAAAGAAAAGAGGATAAACGAACTTGGAAACTAGAAGACTATTGTTAATTAAAGATTCTATTAGTGAAGATTTCTTTAAGATCTTGAAATGTTTTAAAATTTGTATGTGTTTTTCAGATGGGTTAAATAAATGGAATACGAAAAGTGCGAGGAAACTGAAGAGTGAAAATGGAACGTTACGAGCAGTTGTCGGTGGTCGGGGAGGGTTCTTACGGGGTCGTCCTGAAGTGCAGACACCGGGAAACGGATCAGATTGTCGCGGTGAAGAAATTCCTGGAGACGGAGGAGGATGCGAGCGTGCGGAGGATGGCGTTGCGCGAAATCAGGATGCTGAAGGTTTGCTAAAATCCTTCAATTCTTAGAAACATTTTAAAGTTTGTTTTTGCTGCAGAAATTACGGCATGAAAACCTCGTGACGATGATCGAGGTGTTCCGTCATAGGAAACGTTTCTACTTGGTGTTCGAGTTCATGGATGGGACTGTTCTCGATGAACTGGAGAAGACGAACGGTGGACTCGGTGAAGATAAATCGCGCGAGAGGATATTTCAAGTGTGCCGTGCCATCTCGTACATTCATTCAAATAATGTGAGATTTCCTCCGCGTAGTTTCGATGATGCGTTTGCATTGTGTTTGTTTGTAGATTATTCATAGGGATGTGAAACCTGAGAACGTTTTGGTCTCTTCTTTGGGGGTGGTGAAGCTGTGCGATTTCGGGTTTGCAAGATTGGTGAGCAGCGCTGGAGATCCATGCACTGAGTACGTCGCAACTCGCTGGTATCGCGCGCCTGAGCTTCTCGTCGGTGAGCAACAGTACGGAGCCGGAGTGGACATTTGGGCAATCGGTTGTCTCTTCTCGGAGATGATCACCGGTGATCCTCTATTCCCCGGAGAAAGCGATATAGATCAGCTCTATTTGATAGTCAAAACCATAGGTATTTAACAACTCTTTATTTATTATATCATTACTCGTTTTTGAAACGTTTATTGTAGGTAAACCTTGCCAAAGACATCAACAGTTAATGTCGAAGAATTCTCAGCTGAGAGGAATGATACGATCCGCAGCGAACGACGCTAATATTCTCTACAAGAATTTCTCGGCGTGGTCGCTTCTCTCTTTAGATTTCTTGATCGCTTGCATGAAGATGGATCCGCAGGTGAGGCCAGCTTCCGAAGATCTCCTCAAACACAGCTACTTCACGCACGACAAGTTCCCGCAACGTTTCCTCCCGGCGCTCCGCTCCAAAGTGTCCACGGAATTCAGCTCGAATCCGCTGCTGCGGAAGTACAAGACGGAAATCCTGATGGCCACGGATAAAACGGACGAGACTAAATTAAGACGTTCCTCGCAAGCTGAGGTTCCGCGTTGGAGGTTGAGTTTGGTGGAGGGACGCACCAAGAGGAAGTTTAGCTGCGACAACGCGAAGACTTATACGCAGAAAACCGGGTTGACGTTCTTGAAGCAGCAGCAGCAGCAGCCTCCGGCCATTCGCGTGGACAGTTTGGAGAGGAGCATCGAGAATTTGAAGCAGATCTCGTTGAGGCCAACGTCTGAACGTAAGATGACTTTGGAGAGCGGTTACCAAACGCAGTATCAGTCGTTGCAGTCCTTCACGGAGAAGTCCTCGTCTCAGCAGGGAAGTCTGACGTTTAAGGAGCCCAAGAAGAGTCCGAACATTATACAGAGTATACACAATACGTCTATTAAGGGAACGTTCAATCAGGTGCCGTTGATCACGCCGCCCAGGGAATCGTTCATGAAGAGATTGGCCAGGAATAGTGATTCCAATTTGAACTTTGATCCTCTCTTAAGTTTGGGATTGAATAAACCGGCGTGGATCAGCAAGAAGACGCCGCCCAAGAAGGATGATTTTACGTTACCCGATTTACCTGGAGGTAATTTCAAGTTTATCAATGCTTTCGCAACAATTCAGCTAAATTAACTAAGAGTAAATTAATAATGTTTGTTTCTTTGTAGCAACGAGCAGTCCGCAGAAGCTGAAGCGAAAACAGAACCTGGACTGTAGCCCGGATCAACCGCTCGTGACGCCGGTGAGTAAAACGATTCGAAAATATCCATTCAAGTCTGCAAATTGTGCAATTTGTCGTGTTGATGTTCGCAGAGGATCGGTTCGAACTCCTCCGAAAAGTCCGGGAAAGTTTTACCAATGATGTGACTGATTCAGCATTTCCGCAAACGCAACCAACACCACCATCATCATCAACAAACCGACCACAAGAAGTAGTGTTTCTTTGTTTCATTTTGTTTGTTGTTGTTGTTGAAACCGAAAGAGAAGCGTGCAGAATGTTGTGTATTTTTGCGTCGAAGAAATCGTGATAAATTTCTTTTGTATTATATAATAAACTATGTATATACATCGAGGTTGCTTTTACAGGAAGTGAGGTATAAAAAGGCGAAACGGAAGTACAATTCCGAAATGACTCTAGTGAGGATCCACTGACAAGGAAAAGAAAACGTCGGTGGTGTTTGTGCAGATTTTTGGATCCAATACTCTCTATTATTTTCCGTTTTCCTCCCAATGTGTTTATATAACTTTAGTTTATACAAATTGTATATAAATATATATATAAAATGATATTTTTTTAAAATAAATACTATAAAATCAAATCATTTTTAATTCAGGATTGAGTTGGAATCGAAGATCTGCTCTACTGGTAATTCGATTTTAACAATTGTGATTAGTGCAAAGATCTTCTGGCGCAATTTCCACGGTCCAATTCCTCCCGTTGCACAGAAAAACTCATCTTCTCTTCTGCAATTAAACGCAAACGAATTGCAATGATTCGCAGACAGTTATGTAAAATCAATTTCGATGTAAATCCATTTCAAACGAGTTTTAGTCACTAAATCATTATAAGAAGTAGAGGTGAAATTGGGATATTTAAAACAGAATAACTTTTTCAACTTAATATTTTTCCTCGGATTTCCATTTACAAAGAATCGTAAGCGAAAACGTGAATAATCATTATCATAGACGCATTAAAATATTACAGTATACAAAAAAAAAAGTGAACTAATAATTAACGATCAGCACCAAAACATCCTCAGTATCAAAAAGAAAAAAACTTATATTTTAATGTATAAAAAGAGAGAAACTAAACTAAAGATTCTAAATTAAATATCACTTAAAAGAAAAAAAAACAAAACAATATACAGTATATTCGCGGAACTCTTTTGTTTGATGATACCTACGAGATAATAATTATTATATAAATGTGTACAAAAACAAAAGAAAATCGTATTATTAGCGATGATGATGATGAAACAGTAAAATCAAAAGATTTGGCCTCTTTCTTTCCTGGTTAGAGCTTAAGACAACAATAAATATATTGATATTTCCGGATTCGATCACATCCACCAATAACAACAAACACATCCTACGTTTGTTTTTAATTAACTTTTTTCTTCTTTAGGCTTTTCGTTTTTGGTTTTGGCTCAGTTTATCCGAAGAGATCTGAAACTCGACTCGCGTCTTTAGCCTTCGGACAAGCCTCCTGCAGCTTCTCTCCTCCAGAAAGTGGACAGCTTCTATGGTATTCTATCAGGTCACCTGAAACAATCGAATTCAAAGTTTACTATTTATCAAGTGTTTGTCTACTGTAAACTTTTAGTTGCGTTATCTCGAGTGCTTTTTCAATGTATGTGGTCGATAAGTTGAGTGGTTATGAGGGGAAAGTGATAAAAAAAACGACTTCCGCTTACACTTGAAGTGCACTAATTACTCGCGCGCAAAGTCGATCCTCGTTTGGCATTGATGGAATTACATCATCGCGTTCGCTTTTACAAAACAATAGCGTCGAAGGAACAATGCTTGCGTATTTCCTCGAAGGAGGTGAAATTAAAAAAACGCTTCGACAAATTCCTTCAAACTACCGTGTTAATGTTAAATTATTTCGCGACTATTATGCAAACGCTTCCTTTCCTTCCGTTGAGAAGAGGATTTAATTGGTAAGGAAAGAGTTCGCGACGATTGCTGAACGTACAATTCCATTGATTGCACTGCGCAAACAAAAAAAAAACAACGCGGTAGAAAGCGAATCTGAGGCAATTCCCATAGTTGTTAAGAAGAGGATTCGAATCGCACTCACGCGTTGATCTCTTAAAATGGAAAGTTTCACGACCTTCGGGAGGGAGCCCAGATTAGAGTTTTTCCAGTTCCAAATCGATTTTCAAGAGAAACTGATTGCTATAGCGTGGGAGTAAAATAAGTCTTCATAATTAGTAATCACGCATCTTCAAAATGACATTTAGTATGTTAATTGTTCTATTTTTATGCGCGTGCGAATTTCTATTATAGAAAAGTTCAAAATCAAGGATTCGATGCTGAGGAAAGTCGAGGCTACGTATGGATTTGATGATGATGATGAGCGCACTTTCTATTCAGCAATTTGAGAACACTCGAGGTTCTTCTTCCGGTTTTTTTTCTTCTTCTAACGAGATCTTAAAGAGATCGTGTTCGATGAACGGAAGAGCGATATGGATATCGACGAGCTCGACTCTAATTGGCAGCAATAATAATTACGTTTGATGACTAAAGGAAATCAAAGCGAACGAAGAGGAGGAAGTCGATAGGGAAGAAAGTGGTAACGAAACAACAATGCAATAGCATTTTCTCTCATATACGAGGTGGTTTTTTGTAGATTGAGAAAGAAATGTTGAGAGCAGCAATAATAATGATACTTGTGTCGTGGCCGACCAATTTATTGTCATCTATTGTATAACTAATATGTTAGGGCCATGACTTTCGTCTTAATTATTACAAATCATATTTAACGTATCCATCAAATATACAAAAACGGATACTTGTACGAGATTATTTAGAATAACTTGTGAAATCGTTTAGTTGCGTCTATTGCATCACCACTTAACAGCCTTCTGCAGCCCCTAAATATTTGGGCAGGATCATAAAACTTAGATAAAGAAACGCTTGTGTTTTCCACAAGGTCAAACCTTTTCCTCCCACGCAGCCCCTTTTTGAAATGAACACATTTTTTGTATTTATATAATTTAGTCTTAGTTAGGGGAGCGAAGAAAGAAGAAGTTTTAGTAAGAGGGTCCAACGAAGAACTTGGTCTTACTTGGGAGAGTCCAAGGAAGAGCACTTACTTCATAAACACTAACTTAAGAGGAGAATGTAACTCTTAGTTAATAATACCTGAGATCAACTATTGTTTAGTTGACTTCTCAATAAAACTCCGCAACGACGTAACTACGAGATAATCCACGGTGTCCAAGGATTTCTTAACCCTGGGACACGACACTTGGTTTGATGAGTTAACAGGAAATCGCCCGAAGGAAATTTGAAAGCAATGAATTGCTGGAATTTCGGTTATGGATGATGCGCGTCGCTGCAAGTGCATATTTATTGGATAAAGTTCATCGCACCCGATGGTGTGCGTCGAAGAAATAATAATAATAACAATGAAATTTAAAAAGTGGCGAGCGGAGATATCTGCAATCGCACCAGTTGAGGCGAAGTTAACGGTTGATTCCCGTCACACAGCGTTAAGAGAGCTGATGGAGTGGACAGTAGCAGCTGGTCAACGGTAAAGCCTCGACTGACACGGATTTCGGTTTGACGGCCTCAACTTTGATATGAACTCGATCCGATTTTATAATTTTCAATTTAATTTAATTGAATTGTTACCTAAAGTTTTGTGCTCGATCTGATTGCTACCCGCAAAGCTGTAGCTCTGTCCTGCGTTGATCAAGTAATGCTTGCACTTGTCGGTGGCTCTGTAAGAGATGGCGTAGCCCCAGACCTTCTCCGACAGTCGCACCAGGAAACTGCCGTCGCTCCTCTCCTGCAGCAACCTTTCAGCTTCCGCCCTCGTGATCAATCCTGCAACGAAGAAATCCCTTAACATTCATCTCATCTCATTTAGATGAAATCTTACCATGAAACCAGGACTCGACGTTGCCTTGGACGTCGAGTCCTGCCCTCCTCGGAACCTCGCTGCTCTTGTACCAATCCAAAACGGCCTGTCGTGTTGGAGGAACTCCTGTTGCAACTGCGCTATATGCAGAATCCAATTCCAATTTGCATGAAGTCAAGCGATGCTCTTCCCTGGCTCTCCTCGCGATCTCCCTGATCTGCAGCTCGGCCTCTTTCGCTTTCCTCTCTAAGATTTCTATTGATTATTCCGTTTTTTTTTTGATTAAAAGCTGTTTACAATTACCTTGCTCCTTCCACAGAATCTCCTGCTTGATCTCCGCCTCCTCCGCTTCCCGCGCAGCTTCCATCCGTTTCCTGTTGATCTTCTGCAGGATCTCGCAGGTCCTCTCCTCCGTCAGTCTTTTCTCCCACAGCGCAACCTTCTGCGACACCTTCTGATTGCTCAGCACGCCCCTCTTATCCATAACGTTGTTGAACTTCATCTTGTTGTTCTGGTAATGCGTCAGGGTGTAATTGTTGATGTTCTTGTTGATCACCATAGGCGGTTTGTTGATCTTCTCCCTCAGCTCGTCGACGGAACAGTAGATGTCCTCCTGGATCTGCGGCGTCATGTCCTCGATTTTCGGAGTCATCTCAATGTACTTCAGTTCCGCCTCGACGTGTTTCCTCAGCTCTTCCGCCTCTCGCTCCGCCAATTTCCTCGCCTTCTCCAGCGTCTCCTCCTTCAGGATCTCCTCTATGGATTTATCGTTCTGATGCTCTCCCATCACCCACACCCAAGGCTCCCCGTCTGAAGCTTTCAGAAAGGACACCGACTTCTTGCTCTTCCTCGACGTCTTCGGCGCATCGTCTCGCTGCTTCTCGTCCCACATCCTCCAACGTCTGACCTGCTCCTCGCGCATCTTGCAAAACAGCGTCTGCTTCTGCTGCTCGTCCAACCCGGAGAGGATCACCGGATCCACGTACAAATCTCGTAGAATCTGCTGCAACATCTTGACCTGCAAACGACAACAACTAAATGTTAAACCGCTTTTACTTCGATTTACAAATTGGAAAATAGAAAATTCGTTATATTCCGTATTCCAAGTTCATTGCATCTCTCGATATTCCGCCGTCCCGGTTCGTGTCGAGCGTATATAAACCGAACCACTCTCATCCATGGAACGCTCTTAATTGCTTCCGTGACAATGTTAATATTTCTGCACGCCAATTACCACAATTGTACGCAATTTCGTGGGCGTCAAGTCTAATCATCTAATTGAGAATATGCTCCAAATTCCAACAATTATTCCGAACGAAACAAAAACTTTTCTTACTTTGTTTATAACATTCCTACTGAAGCTCGTAAAACTCTCTCAATTTGTTAATTTATAAAGAATATTGACGGTTTCAGCCTTGACTTGAGTCACAGTTTTTTTCAATGCAATTGAAAACCGAAATGATAAATCGCGTTTCTAAATGGGTCAATGCTGCTCGCATTCAATTATTTTACATACCAATTACATAAAATCTAACATCCTGTACAAAACTCTCAAACAAAACCGAAAAGTAATTAACAAAATTTCAATATGAATTTGATTTTTCTCACAATCAAATTGCCAATAAATCGTTATCATTATTGGAACAATGTTGACGATCGTTGTGGTAATTTCACACTCGCTGATATTTATTGCTAAAGAGTATATAAAATTGAACTGTTAACGAATGGAAATCTAAAGAAACGGTCCGAAGATGAAATTCCCTTTGCACTTGTTCGCGTTAACATTCCTGCTGCTGGTAGCAGTTAGTTTTAGCAGCGAAGTACCGGTTCACGAAGAAATTGAAGGTAAAACACTTTATATTTATTTGTGTATGTATGTGCAACATTTTCCTTAGAAGAAAGCACGCTTTTTCCACGTTTCTCTTTTCCTGAAACCGCACCTGCAAATCGATTTATTTAACTTACAACATTGCATTGCGAAACAGTTACTCTCTTCTCATCGAAACACCATATTGATTTGCGTTAATATATGTACAGAAAATACCTTTTTTTTGTGAAATTGTTTGTTAAAATTTCTTGTAGGAGATGCAGTGAAAAGGAGGATTTTTTGCGTGTTCGGATCGAACATTTGCAATGTAGAATGCACCGCGTTGGGATTCAAGCGCGGCGGAGTCTGCAACAAAGGATTTTGCAATTGCCATACGACGTAATAAAGTTGATAAAAGAAAAACAAATATTTTTATTTTAACAACCCAAAAAAAAAACTAAAATCCTTTTTCTTCCTTGCAAACAACAAAATTCATTACTTTTGAGATAAACTATGTTAATTTTGTTTCTTCCTGAAAAGTTATTATGTTTTTAGATAAACTAGAGTTGTTAAAATACACTTTGATATACGTTTTAGTGCGTTATTTTTGTGGTATTTAAAGAGTCTAAAACTTGGATTTTGCATTACTCAGAATTTGAATTTTTGGATAATATGAAGCTGATTTACTGTCTTCTCCTTGCTCTGTGCACCTTTGGAGCAGTTCTTGCTCTACCAGTTGATCAACTAGTTGAGCAACCAGGTCAGTTATACTTATTTTTTCCTTAGTTCAACATAAATTTTGGTAAACTTTTGAATTTACTTTCGATAGCCTCTTTCGTAGTTGTTAGCTACGTTAATGGCATTCCAAGCGAAGAGTTCAAAAAAAGTAAGTTTTGATAGTTCAAACACCTGTGTTTTCACAAATATAAATAATCAATACTAATTGACTCTTTCTTTTTAAGTTCTAGAAGGTATTCAGAGAAGGAACTTTATATGTGTTGGATATGGGAATTTATGCGATAAGAATTGCAAGGCTATGGGTTACAGAAGTGGTAAATGCAATAGTGAACGTACATGCGATTGTAATTAATAATAATAAACATGAAAATTGTAAACAAATATGTGAATTATTAAGTAGTGATCAATAAATAAACAATGAGCATTAAATAAATATCTTATCCTATTTTTATCTTTAAAAAGAATGTAATTTTTATTCCTACTGCCAGAATTTCACATGCAACATTTGAATATTGAATTAATTCTTAATATTTGAACTAATCATAACATTAAATTCATAAAATAAAGTTTATAATGAAACATAAAGTGTGGATAAACTGATGTTCAATTTGCAGCTTCGCAAAATTGATTCAAGAGGTAAAGTTTAACACTTTTCTCACTCTCTCAAAGTTAATTGCACAGTTTTCGTTTAACATTTCGTAAAACGTCTGCAAAGATAATTAACCAATTGAAATTTCCCAAATAAAACAACAAACATTACAAAATTGTTCTATATACAAACGGCTTCATAATACATGATTCTGTATTGTTTTTCATAACTTACTGAAAATATTAAAGTTAAAAATAGTTTTATTTCAGTAAATTTTTCATCATCGAAACTGAAGAAACGTACAAAGATAAATTATAGTACGTAACCTTCTACCACCTACATCAATTTGCTCTCAAAGTGCTAATGATTATTTGTTTTATTAACCATTATATTATAGCCTCATTATTTCCAGAGGTGGGAAAATGCATTGAGTAAATTTTTAAGTAAAGTAATTGGGAATAGATAATCAATTTTCATGGGATTCACAAAAACCATTTGCGAAAGAACATTTTCAATGTAGAATGCAATCAATACGACGTAATAAAGTTTTAACAATCCAAAACAAAAGTCCATTTCTTCCTTAAAGAAAAAAAAAACATAATTTTTGAGATAAACTCTCATAAATTCTTTTCATCCTGAAAATTTATTACTTCTAAGATAAACTACTCTAAAAATTGTTAAAACACAGTTTGATAAACGTTTTAATGCGTTATTGTGTGGTATTTAAAGAAACTTCAACTAAGATTTTGCATTATTGAGAATTTGAGAGAAAACATGAAGTTGTTATACTTTCTATTCGTTGCTCTGTGCATCTTCAGTATAATTCGTGCTATACCATTCACTAAAGGGTCAGGTCAGTTATAATTACTTCATTCAAAACCTTCTGCATTTACCTATAGTCTTCATTAATGACAAAATTCAATACAATAGATTTCTTTAATTTTTAGAAGAAACTAATATAGGGTACACTTGCTCAAGATGCGTCGAAAAGTGTAGATTCAACGGTCACCAATCTGGCTTTTGCATCGTTCATTTCTGTATTTGTCATGGACAAAGAGATGAAACAACAACGACTTACGAAACTACTACAGAACTTATTTGTGATTATACAACTGAAGAATACAAGTAGATCCACCGAAAATCGAGATATTCTTACAGAATTTTACAATTAGATAATGTAGTGTAAATAAATTGAAAAAAAATGTACTTTAAACACAATTGTTGTTATATTTTCATCAATCAAAAGATTAGATGAAGCTGATGTTCAATTTGCAGCTTCGCAAATGTCAAACCACTTGCGGTATTCGATCGATTCAAGGTAAAGTTTAACACTTTCCTCACTCTCTCAAAGTTAAGTTTTCGTTTAACATTTCGCAAAACGTCTGCAAGGATAATTAATCTTTCGCTGAAATTTAATGATTACAAAGTTACAAAATTTGTTGAAAATGTACACTTCTTGTCTTTATTTATTACCTAAACATTTGAGTTACAACAATAAAAGTTTGCTAAAAAAAAGTGGAGATATTTTCTAGTATTTATTATTGTTTTTGATCATCAAACCTACCCTTTCTGGTATGGAAAGATACTAACAATATTCGAGTTAAACTAAAAAGTGTATTTTTCATCATTCAAGAAACGTACAAAGATAAATTATTGCACGTCACCTTCTACCGCCTACATGAATTTACTCTCAAAGTGTTAATGATTTCTTGTTTTATTAACCATTAAATCGTTGCCCCATTGTTGTCCGCTTATCCGGGCTGCAGTTAAGATTACCGGCTGCATATAAATATGCGCTTACAGAGAGAAATCGTCGCAACGAGAAGAGAATCGAAGGTCTTCGTAACACAACCACTGTTATTATAATTTACACGATGAGATATCTCGCGTTCTCGATCGTCGTTTCTGCGTTGTGCGTTCTCTGCTGCTTGTGCCATCAGCATGAAAAGAACGGTGAGTAAATTCTCGATTGAAAGAAAATCGGGACGAAGAATCAATCTGTATTTTTCAGAAACGGGAATATCGACGATGTTCGACTGCGACGTTTCGGACATGTGCCACATCGTGTGCACCACGTTGGGATTCGCGAAAGGCGTCTGCGAGAAAACACTTCAATGCACGTGCTTTCTTTAATGATTATGTAATTGTTTTTGGGATGAACGCGTTAATAAAGTAAACGAATTTCTCATCGGAAATCTTCGCAGATCGATTCTTTAAAAACAGTTACGAGAATAGAATGGAAGCGTAAATGAGAAATGATAGGAAGCGTTCACATTTGTTGCTAGTAAATGGTAAAAGAGAAAAAGCGTGCATTTGTTTTGTTATTATTGTTGAATCTCTTTTATTTTTGCCGCTAAAAAAGGAGGATAATTGATTGATCATGGTCACAGTTACTATGGTTACACAGTTTATCCTCTCCTCTCTGTCTCTGTGTTTGTGTCAGACTGTATTCGGTTCGGTGATCCTCTAAGGTCAACCAGTATGTGAGAGATACCAAGGACCACACATCTGAATGCGAACACACACACAAAAAAAACTGCAGACTGAAAAAGACAAAGACTCTCCAAAACCGCATGCAAAGACAACGTTCTTTTATGTATGTAAAAAAAATGAGACTGCTCTGGAAACAAAGGAGCGTCGCAATTGTTTAGCAATTTGTGTCATTGCTTCTATAATTTAGTTTTTTTTTGTTATCTTTACTTGCAGATAACAAAAAAATTCTGGATTCTAGGGGACACCCGGGTTTGAACCGGGGACCTCTCGATCTGCAGTCGAATGCTCTACCACTGAGCTATATCCCCAGATTCTTATCAAAATTATGCAATTATGCAATTGTTCATTAATCAAGATAAGAACGCATTGTTCTAAAAATTAACACTAATTAAATATTTACACATTCCTATCAAATGATTCATAAAACATTCGCTGTAATTCGTGTTCAAAATTTAAAAAATGCTCGAAAAAGT